GCAAGAAATAATGTTGGCTTCAGAGTCAGTCCAACCTGGGTTTGGACACCAACCCTACTGCTTACTGATGGACTGAGGGGGTGACCTCACATAAATTAACCTCTCATCCTGTGTCTTCGTCTGGAGAACAGAGTAAGTATACCTTGGGGAGCAAGGAAGCTCATGTAGGAACTCACATAGGAAAACTGGCTTTCACATGCTACATTCTTAAATGGAAGGAGTAGTAGCCATCAGATAGTGGTTGTAGAAATAGTATTTCTATAATTAATGTTAAAGTAACTATTTAGGATCCAAAAAGTGGCACTATGGATCAAGAAGACTTAAGGGGAATAAGCTAACATTTGAGGGACGTGAGGGTCAAAAATCAGGAAAACAAAGACTACACGTCTCAGGCAAAAGGTAGCAACAAGTTCCAAACAAGAAAACAGAAGCACCTGTCAGAAAGGAGCAGGTGAAAGCTCATGTAGAGTGGAGATAACACTGAGAACAAAGTGAGGAAGGTGCTGTTGTATGACTAAGGAAAATGCAGAGGAGGTATTCAGAGCGGACTTTTATAGTTGTTCCAGTTAAACTGTGCATTAGTCAGCTCAGTCTGCCATAACACAATGTCTTAGATTAGGCGGCTTAAACGATGGAAATTTATTTTCTCACAGTCTGGAGGCTGGAAGCCCAAGATGAAGACACCATCTGGGTTGCTTTCTGGTGAGACCTCTCCTCCTAGTTTTCAGATGGCTGCCTTCTCTCTGTTCTCACATGGTCTTTCTTCTGAGCACATGCAGAGACAGTGAGTTGAGAGACAGAAAGAGAGAGTTCTGGTGTCTCTTCCTCTTCTTACAAGGGCACCAGTCATATCACATTAGAGCCCCACCTTTATAACGTCATTGAAGTTTAATTACTATCAAAAAAGTCCTATCTCCAAATGTAATCACATGGGAGGTTAGAGCTTCAATATATGTTTTGGGGGATGCAATTCATTCCATAGCAGACAGATTATTTCATAAAGTGGTGTTGTGTATCCCACGACTGTTTCCATTTCAATAAAGGCCTCTTAAAACAGAGAAGGCTTTGAAATCCAAACAAATGATGCACAAAAAATAGAATTTTAGTCACAATGGTTAGATTATTAGGAAAATATTTGGGGGATGGGGAATTTTCTGCTGCTTTCCAAATCACAAAGTGTAAGAACCTCTTGATTCTACCTGTAAGTAAAGCTCTTCTGGCTTCTTGGTCCTTTCTGTTTAAGCTCCAGGGTCCTGCTTGAGTCTTTGCTCATTTAGCAGATTAAATTTTATTTCCTTTTATTATCCCTGGCTCCTGTCAGTTGCCCTAACATATCACGGTGAAGTGCTGATGAAACTAAACTTACAGATATCTTCAGGCCTTGACCTCAGGAAACTTAATTTGTCTCTCTTCTCTATATCCCTGTTGATATCCAATGTTGCCTTTGATTTAAGAAGACATGTCACACTGGGCACTCCTGATCATTCCAAGGAAAGACCTGCTGCTTTGAATCAGAAATGTCATATTGTGTCCAAGGAAATCAGTAGAGAGACCACCCACCTGGGTATCTAATGACCTGCACTCAAGTTGATCTCTGCCAGGAAATTACTTCCAGATATTCATCAATCTCTTATCAATCTTTGGACCTTATTTCCCACATACACACACAAAAAGGGGAGTTGGATAAGATCTAAATTGAGGCTGGCCATGGTGATTAATACCTGTAATCCCAGCATTTTGGAAGGCCAAGTGAGGAGGATAGCTTTAGACCAGGAGTTCAACACTAGTCTGGGTAACCTGGCAAAACCCTATCTCTACAGAAAATATAAAAAATTAGCCTAGCATGGTGGCACACACCTGTAGTCTTAGCTACTTGGGTGGCTGCAGTGGGAGGATCACCTGAGCTCTGGAGGTCGAGGCTGCAGTGAGCCATGACCTTGACATTGGGTGAAATGAGTGAGATCCTGTCTCAAAAAAAAAAAAAAAAAAAAAAAAAAAAGATCTAAGATGAATATATCTAGAATGATTTTTGACAGTATGGTCTCATCGTTTGGGGTTTTAAGATACTTGTAGAATATAAATAGGAAGACAGCTGCCCAGAATGAGCTATAAGGATGATATACCTTCATCTAATATCCTTCTTCATGCTTATAGAAAGAGCCAATATGGTATTTAAGAGGATAAGGAGGATGAAGTGAGAAAACAGGGTTGAAAAGGAGTAGAGAGCAGTATGAATGGTTGCCTATTTGACTTTCAGGTCATATTATGCCAAACGCATCACTACTAAGTGGTGATTTCGTGTGACATGATTTGGTCATTAGACATGGGATTACACTTGAAAGGTTTCTAAGGGAAGATTAACTTTGAACAGAATTTTGGAAGATAACTTTCTCTGTGTGTGTGTGTGTGTGCGCGCGCACGCACGTGTGTGTGTGTGTACAAATAATAATATTGTATGTTGCCTTCTTAGCAACCCCTAAGGCCCCTAACTTCTTTTCCCAAGTCATCTCCAATTGATGTTAATAAGGAAAGGTTTCTATAACAACATCATCTTTGTTCTAAGCAAGTAGAAAGGAGATCCTAGGGAGGTAAATTCAGAAGATCAGAGTGAAAAAGAACCTTCAAGAGGGAGAGGAGCATTAGACATCCATGGTAAAACCAGGAGGTAGGACAGTAGTGCTTAGGTTGAAGAAAGTACAGAGGAGATGTCCTTGTCAATGAGAAGGAATGTGTTGGAGAAGGGACTCTATGAATATGGTGTTTAAGAGTTCTTTGCATAGCAAGTAATAGGAAACCAAACTCCAATTCATTTGTGCCAGAAGAGAATGCCTTTTCTTTGGGGGCTGAAGAATCCAAGGGAATAGCTTAGGCATTGTATGTAGAAGAAAATAACATATTCGCAGCTTCTTGTTTGACTTTTAACTTCTGTCCTTCCAGAATATTTAGGGATGTCTCATAGAACCTTGCCGGCAGTTCAGAAAATGGGGTTTTGTTACAGGCTGAATTGTGTCCTCTCAAAATTTGTACGTTGAAGTCCGCACCCCCAGGGCCTCCAAATGTGGCCTTGTTTGGAGACAGGGTCTTTAAAGAAGTAGTTAAATCAAAATGAAGGCATATGAGTGAACCCTAATCTAATGGGACTCGTGTCCTTATAAAACAAGGAAGTGTGGCTGCTACAGAGAGAAGGTCATATGAAGACACTGGAAAAAGATGGCCATCTGCAAGCCAAAAAGAGAGGCCTCAGAAGTAGCCGACCCTGCCAGCACCTTAAACTAAGATTCTAAAAATTGTGAGTGAATGAATTTCTGTTGTTTTAGCCACACGATCTTTGGTACTTGTTAGAGCGGCCATAGCAGATTAATACAGGCTATAAGATGCTTGATTCTGAATTTTAGAATTATCAGCACTGGAATAGTGACTATCATTGAAAGAATCTCTGCCCAGGCACCTGGAAACTAAGATATGAAGAGAAATGTTCACTGCAGGCCAATGCCCTGATGCAAATGGATCACAGTAAATTCAGCCTACTATTCCTAAGGATGAGCGAAATTATGGATGCTTCACCTTTGTAGGAAGCAATTCGTTTCAGAGGCTATCTGGAGCCTTGAGACTTCATCTGCATATTAATTGCAAATGTGATATTCTTGTACAAGTCTGCTTAGTGTTTTTATTCTTAAAGACAACTCTATGTCTGATGTTTTCCCTCTGGCTATAGTCATTGTATTTGCACACAGGGCATTTTATTTCCCTTGATTCTTAACTAATTTTTTCTCTCTCAACCTCATAAGAAACAACAATATTTATTTCCAAAAATTCGTGGTGAAAAATTTCTATAATCATTAAAAAAACCCAAGCCTCCCAGTGTATGGGAAAGTACAATGCCTTTATAAGGCAAGGATGCCAGGCAGGTAGAGACTGTTCCATTCTCCAAAAATGGCCAACTTTTTCCACACCCTACTCTCTAAAAGAGGCCAAGACAGAATCAGAGAGGGCTTCTGATTGGCTGGCCCTTCAGATTTTACAACGTTTCCACTGAGAATTAACCTCCAAAAAATCACCCAGGAATCTCAGGCCCACCATGCTTGTGAATGTCTTTCTGGAAGTCAGCTGGCAGGCAAGAAGCCATCTACATCCTCATCCTCATCCTCCTGCATTTTACCTGCCTCTAAGCATGGTTTACATTAGATGTAATAATTCTGTTTCCAGCCACAAAACTTGATCCTTATAATTGAACCATAATCAAGTTTCCAATGGGAAAAATCATTTGCAGAATATTTGCCTTTCTATTTTTGTTTCTGTTATTTTTTTTTCCTTGTAGAAATAATATTACATCTTAACCAATTCATTCCTTCACATTTCTGGAAACACAGAAAACATATTTGCCACCACCTTGTGTGTCAGGGTGGGCCATCTGACCAGGTCTGGAAAACGGAGTGTGAGAGAAATGATGTACTCTTTTCCCACGTTGACCCCATATAAAGCATCTCCCAGGTGTGAGTCTCTCTCTTTCCTAGTGACATGTGAGGATGACTGTCCCAGGCTGGAAGCAGTCTGGACCCCCGACCATTCTTCAGGGAGTCCCTCCAGGACAGCCAACGAACCAGAGACATCTGCATTGGAATTTGTGTGAATAAAAAGTTTTCTGTGGCCGGGCGCGGTGGCTCAAGCCTGTAATCCCAGCACTTTGGGAGGCCGAGACGGGCGGATCACGAGGTCAGGAGATCGAGACCATCCTGGCTAACACAATGAAACCCCGTCTCCACTAAAAATACAAAAAAATTAGCCGGGCGTGGTGGCGGCGCCTGTAGTCCCAGCTACTCGGGAGGCTGAGGCAGGAGAATGGCGGGAACCCGGGAGGCGGAGCTTGCAGTGAGCCGAGATCGCGCCACTGCACTCCAGCCTGGGCGACAGAGCGAGACTCCGCCTCAAAAAAAAAAAAAAAAAAAAAGTTTTCTGTACAATATGACACTTTAGCATTGTAGAGTATAAGAGCTAGTAGATTTTTCTTTCTTACCTTCAGCAATACAGAATTTTTTTTCATTTGTACAGGAATGATGATGGCCCTCAAAGACTGAGTCTCTGTGAAGAAGAGAACATATTAAGATAATTTCAATTACACAGTAGCTTAAGAAATATTAAGTTGAGTCAATCATATAATCCCTCTAAATCCAATCCTTTTCTTATCCTGCCTTCTTCAACCTCCAAATCCAATCAGCAGTGGAGAAAGCTATTTCTTGTCAGTCTTATGTACCTGCCCAAGCTGTGAGTGGGATGGCAGAGTACTTCAGCAGGGCCACTGGTCTGAGCGCTGTGAAATTGAGTTGGAGTTCCAGTGGTGCACTGACCTGCTGTGGGACCATGAATAAGTGATTTCCCTCTTTATATGATAAGCACAAAGGGACACTTGCCATATCAAGAGTTTGAACTAATTTTAGCTGACTCCACTCTGCTCTTCACATATTTTCACACTCAACTTCTCAAATTCAGAGCTTAAAACCCAGAAGCTTATGAATGTGCAAATGAATTTTATTTGGATTGCATGTCTTAAAAATAAATGCATATATACACATATATACACACACACACACATATACACACACACACACACACACACACATATATATATATAACTCAAGCTTAAGCTTCACCAACAGCATTTACTTTTTCCTATGGCAACAAATAATTGGAGCTTAGTAGCCAGATGCCCCTTTTAGATGAAGTGTGTGTTTTCTGTTTGAAACAGTTCCCACTACTTCCTAATGTTACACATTGGCCTAATTCTATCCACCTGGCCAGTGTAGACATTGAAGTTTGTGTCAAAGTTAGAGTTTACTTTAACCTTTCTTAAACCTGCCAACACCAGGGATACAGGAGGAAAGTCAATACTGAGACAGAACTGGGATACAAACTTGGCAAAGCCAGGATTTGCTACCAGCTAAGGGAAACCAATCTTGAGAGCAAGCATCAGGGTCTGCATCTGTCTGACACCCTAGGGAAAGATGTTAAGTTGAAACAAAATAATTGTAATAACTCAAACAGTTTCAAATACACTATAGTGTCTTTGCCACATCCTTGATAAGTCAAGCGTCTTAAACTGTTAAGATCTTCTTCTATGAAAAAGAAATAAAACAAAACCATGGAAACATTAAAAAGATCAGTGGTTGCTAGGGGTTGGGGTAGAAGGAGTAATGACTGGAGGGAGCACAGATGATATTTAGTGCAGTGAAAATACTCTGTATGATACTATGGTAGATACATGTGGTTATACATTTGTCCAGGTCCATAGAACGTGCAACAGCAAGTGTAAATCCTAATGTAAATTATGGATTTTGTATGTCTATGGTGTGTCGTTGTAGGTGAATCCGTTGTAACAAATGCATCATTCTGGGGATAATGGGGGCAGCTCTGCATGTGTGGGCGCAGAGAGTATATCAGAGTATGTGAAACTGATGGGAAACTAAAACTGCTCTAAAAAATTGTCTTTAACTTTTTAAAAATTGAAAAAAATAAAAGGGCTCATGTGAGAACTAAATGAGATGGTTTTTATGTAAACCATACGGCCTAGTGCATAATAGACATTCATTAAGTGGTAGCCACCATTGTCATCACAATTGGTAAAAGTGATTTGCAGGTATATAGCAATGAAGCTTGACGGGGGAGGAGTTGTGAGATAAAAGTGGGGATCTAGGCTTCATTACTGGTACCTAGGGAGATGCTTTCTATAAGGGAGAGGAAGGTAAATTTGCCAGCTCATACCTAAGTGTGTGCTTAGCACTCATGTACAGGCAACCACCTCTAATCCTCTCTCTTTCAAAATGTCAGGTAAAATGGGTAAAACCGTTGCTCGGTATCTTTCATGTTTTCCCTTGCTTAGTGTCTTTCAGATCACAAGCCACTCTTCTGAGAACTTTTCTATTTCAAACTTTAACTTGTTTTCACCCATATTATAAAATTTGGAACAAGGAGGAGAACCATAACAAAGAGAATGGTTAAGGAAACTAGTATTGACAAAGAACCCACTGTGTGCCCAGCACTGTGCTTGGTACTGTCCTCCTAAGAATACTGCACATTTGATACTCTAAATTCCATTGGACTGAGCATGAAAATCAGATTCAGAAAGATTAAGTGACATTTTTCTGTTTTGCTTTCATAATCGCACTTATCAATATGTCAAATCCTTTTTTAAAAAATTCAATTACTGGTTTGCTTTGCTTCCTATTTGTCCTACTCCGACATAAGTTTCACATGAGACAAGATCCTATTTTCTTCAATATTTTATACTCAGTGCCTAAACAGTACTTGGCAACATAAATAATTGTTGAGTGCATGAATTTTTAATTAATGAGCGAATGAAAACTGCCTAGAGATAACTTTGATTCCTGGCATGCCTGCTTCTAAGTCCACACTCGATCTATTTTGACCATGAAGCTGACTGCTCAGAGGCTTCCTGGGTGGTGTAACTGTGCCAGGAGAGGCACAGACATTACAGGCCTCTGGCCTTCCCATCCTCTTCCACTGGTTATGAAAAAAGGTGTTTTATCTCTCTCCTTCTTCCAAAAATGCCTCCTTTTGTAAGTTTTAAATACTAATGATATTAGTTGTTTCTATACTATCATCTATTTGCTGGAAATCTTTGTCCATGTGCCGTATGTGAAGTATCAAGAAGAAGATGGCACTAATGCAGAGTCATCTACTGCCTCAGCCAAAAACCTCTTGGACACTTCATCTGGAAGAAGGAGACATTCACAGGCATGGTTAGCCTGTCCTGAGCATGAATTAGACTTGGAAGAATGACAATTCAGGCTGCTATTCACTTCTAGCAGTGCCAGGTCATCTTACCCCTGCAGATTTTACTGGCTCCATTGCAATGGAAGCATTACATTAAAGGTGTTTTCTCATTCATACTCTCATTTTATCCTCAAAGAACTTCATGCACTAGAGTAAGAGATGTTAGGTCCCACTTTGCAGGTCACAAAATAAGAGTTCAAGAGCCAAAATGACTTGTCTAAGACCACAAAAAGTTATCAGCAGAGGTAGAGCTCAGACACTTGAATTATATTTTTAATGAGTCATGCAAAATCTTGGTCTCTACATTCATTCCACACAAATGTGATGAAGCCTTAATATGTTCTGGGTTCCCAGGTAAATATAAGGATGCAGAGCCAAGCAGTTTGGTATGGGGGAGATAGCACAGACATTAGTGTTGTGGAGACCTGGCACTTTAATTCCTAAGCCCATGACCAGAGTCAAATTGAGTAGAATTTCTCAACCTCTATTTTCTCATTCGTAAAATAGAAACACTGATACCTGCTGTCTAGCTTGCCATGAGACTTAAAACAGATAATGTGCATAAAGTATTTTGCATAGTGTTTTCCCTTCCTGCCACCTGTCAATGACACAGTCATTTCTTCAAGGAGGTTGCATTTCAGAAACACAGTTTAGGTACATAGCTCAAGGTCTGCCAATAAAGGGCAAATGCCAAAACATATAGGGAAACAAGTATTCTCATGGGTGGCTGTTCTAACATCACTCACAAAGGGGTGGGGATTTTTCTGACTTTCTCCAACTATCCTTAAACATGACTATCAATAATGCTAATGAGGATTTCACCAGCCACCACATTCCATTAAACGTAAAGATTTTGTCTTAAAGCAATAATATATTGCTATTGTTCATTCAAGAAAATTATCTTCCTTTTGGACAGAGGATAGCTATTGGGTAAGAGATGGGAACAAGACAGAAAACTACAAAATAAACATAGTCCATGCCATAAAGTACACCAAATACCATACTAAAGTTTCTGATTTTCATTAGACAAGGTAACAAAGAGGAAACCAACAGTTTCAGAAGACAAATGATCCATTCAGTTTAACGAGATACGGATCCAGCCTTCAAAGAAATCCTGGTAACTACAGCACTCATTATGAAAGAACCTACAGATATCTGATCTTCCCACCCTTATTTTGGGATTCACAATGATAGAGACAATAAAAATGCTATTCATCCATGTATCTTTATAATAATATTAATAATAAAATTAATAATGATAATTTATGAATTGAATGACCACTATAACGTAGCCACTCTATGGGCCCTTCGAAGTGTTATAGCATTTCACTGTCAGTGACTAAAACTTAGCAAGGCTCAGTCAGTGTTTTATTCTAATGATGATGATTAAGTGGCTTAAATCCAAGACATACAATCCCAGCTTAGTGGGGTTGCAGCTCTGTTACGTTTTATCGGTCACTGTCAGAGATTTCCAAAACTTTGATGTAATAGGGCAGCATGATAGAGTCAAAGCACTTTGCACTGAAATTCTACAGAGTGGAGCTCTTGTCCCTCCTTAATTATTGTCAACTCTCTGAATCTTAGTTCCCTCATTTGTAAAAATTAAGACTCATCTGGATGCTCTTCCAAATCCTACTCAGCTTAAACAGTCTGACATTCTGAGAGGAATGGCTGATGCTTTCCTGAAGATCTTAATCCTATGGTAACAGTGGTAGTTATGTCATTTGTTTCCTGGGAACCTGACATAGAGCCCCCGCCAGCTGAGCAAAGAAGCTCTTGGCCCATTCTGTACACTACCCTGCTGGACTTTCCAATTGTGTTAATTGGATGCTTTGAACCAGAGAGACCTGCACCTGGCTTCTCCCATGAGCAAGATCACACATTCTCCAAATAAAATGAGAGAGTGGTTGCCTCCATGTGAGATTGGCTGGTTTTTGTGGATTTGCACCCTCTACTGTGGTCTAATTTTCACATCACTTAGTGTTTGCATGAAAGTGTTTCACATTTTTAGGAAAAACCATTTCATCTCTCTTCATCCAATATAATTTTTCCCACACTACCATAGATATCATTATCACATCTTTCAACCTTTACTATCAGACCTTAAAAGTAAGTAAACAGATAAGTACATCATTAACGCAGCTACAGAAGATAAGGACTTAAGTGCAGCACCACTCACTGATACAGAAAGTGAAAAATAGGACTACCTGACACTGGAGAGGGATAACCAAAGTACATCTTTAAGACAGTTGTCAAAGATGAATATTTAAACCCATCAAATTTGTCAAATT